TATTTGGTTCAATACTGTGTTTAATAGGCTTCACATTCATAGGACCTCTCGATTTCATACCAATAGAACCGTAAGTGTACTAAACATTGCAAACAGAATATTCTTGATTTTAATATATAATACATTCTTTTAACAGTGAGTTGTGGATAATAATCGTCTCATTGGTATTCATTGGTTTGGGAATCGCCTCAAAACTGGTCACCGCTTTCATCAGTGCTTTACACGACTCCATCCATAGGCGAGGCTTTGCCGACGATATATCGACCTATGGTTTGGTGTCCGCGATGTTCTTCTGCGCCTGTAGTGTCGGGTAATTACCATTCAATTCAATATTATACTCAATGTAATGGACATGTCTTCACATATTGACATACATTCAGTGCGTTCATCGGTCCCTCTTTGGGTGGATTTCTTTTGGACAGAATTGGTTACAGAAAAGCAATTCTTGTCATTCTTATCGTCGATATTCTTATGGTATTTAATATTCAAATGAAATAACATATAAATTGTATATTTGTTATAATAAAGTGTCTTATATTCAGGTTTTCCTTCATGTGTTTCATCTAATCGTACGAAGAGTTCAGAGCTCCAGAAGTGATGAATTGCGACCACTTTTAACACAAAACTCTTAAGCGTTTTAATACATAATATTTTATGACTTTTATGTGTATTTAATGGTTTTTGTGATATTTTCGTATGAATTATACAATAAACTTATTTTATTTAACAAATGTTTTCAAATTTATTATAAAATATTTGTTTCAATTTACTACAATTTAGAGTATGGTTTACAAAACAAAATGAATTCATAAAAACGTTGTCATTAATCATCAAATCAATTGTTGAACATTACGGTAGGAATAAACTATTATACTGTAGTGAAAATTACATTGAAATTAACATTGTATCACAAGTTCAGACGAATTGATTTATGATACAAATTCTTTAAATATTATAATTAACAAAGTTATGACTGAAATCTCACATTAAATCATAAAGTCATAACTGATTGAGAGTTTGGTTAAGATTTGACAATTTTTAAATCTAATGAACTATAAATAGTATCACTTTTGATACCACGATTATCACTAAATAATTAAAGCTAATATGATAGTTAAACTTTACAGTTAACTGTTAAAACTATAATCTCATACAGTTATACATCTCATTCTGAATACAATGCATTGAATACAGTAGATTTTATTTAATAATAATACATTCAAGACTTCCCAAAATCACATATTTGAATAGTACTTAGTATTGATAAAGATAATTTATAATTTTGTTTGTCTCACAAATTGGGTTTCAGTCTCTATAAAACTCTTAACGTCTGAAAAATTAATTTTATTAAGTTTTAGAGGAATTCTCAACAGGAATGGAGTCTAAAAGACATTCCTTCAGCTGTTCTACAGAAGTGCAAAGAATATTGTCTCAAAAGTGTGATTCACTGCCAGTCTATGAAAATGGGAACAAACACTTCCACAAAGACTACATGAGTTACAAAAATACAATAATTTTTAAACAGAATTTGTTGAGAGAATTAAGAGAAAAATCAGAATTGAGAGGTTAATCATATATAGAATAGTAAAACATTTGATGGGAATGCAGAGAACGGATTCACACGACTTATCAATTATCTCCGCCCTCTTGTTGTTCGTCTCCGACTTCTTCTTCTTCTTCAGGTTTACCAATAATGCGATTCAAATAGAATTCAATCCTAATTATAAATTAAACGAATAAAGGATTAAATGAAAATAGAAATAAATTTTTCGACATTTATTACAGAATATTCTATATATTCTGACTGATTTATAAAATTAATGCTTTTCAAAATATACTCAGAATTTTAAATTAATGTCAAAATTCACAGAATATAAGGAATTCACATAAAACTAGTGCTTCACATGAGTTATATTTAAAGCAATGTCTCATTTGACGGATTATTTACAGAATTACCGTATATTTCGAGTTTATTTTTAAAAACTATGTTTTACTCACTCATTGAACTCAACGTAAAGACTCGCTTTGAATGGTGAGACAATGTCCTCTAATTCTTGATTCAAAGACATTATCATTAGTTTAGATATCGGAGACGCGGTTTCATCCAAATCAAGATATTTGAGTATCAATTGATCCAAAGCCAGTGCCGTTCGCAACAAATGTTTTTTAACACTAAATAAAGCATTATTTCAATTATTTCGGTTGAATTTCTGTTTCAATAATAAGTGTAAGAGTTTTGGGAATCAAAGAGTGTTTCGCGAGAAATGCGGCGAAAAGTAGTCGAGAGTTGCGACGAGTTCTCAGAGTATAACGTCTTTTAATAATCGTTTGAAAAATATTTTCAATAAAAAACTTTTCTGAGAGACGAGAGAAAAGGTATTATAAGTCAGACTAAAGACTTGTATAGTATTTGAGTATTTTGTGCACAATTTGAGTGCAAAACCAGTTTTTGAAGATTCGTTGGTTTTGTTAGTCTCTGAATCTTATTCACCACGAGAGAAAAGGTATTATAAGTCAGACTAAAGACTTGTATAGTATTTGAGTATTTTGTGCACAATTTGAGTGCAAAACCAGTTTTGGAGGATTCGTTGGTTTTGTTAGTCTCTGAATCTTATTCACCGATTGTTTCATCAGATTCGACATAACAGGCTGTCCTGTAATGTAGGTGTGAGTGAAACACATACACAACGAGTAGTAGACTAAGACATGCCATGCATTCACTTCAAGGATACCTCCAGAGGTTAACAGCATCTGCTCTCTCATTATCCTCTCATTTCAATCCCAAACCACTGGTCACTCAAACAGATCCCACTCTCAGCACTCATTAGTATCAAAGCAAAGCTAATTTCAGTTGAAATTTCAGGTAAAATAAGGCTTTGAGTAAAAGTGTAGAGAATCTGAAAACTACTATAAATTGTGTTTAGGTGTGAGATCTGATCCACAGGTGGATCGACGACCCCTTCGTTCAGAACTCATCACAACTTTTGCATACATTAAGAACTCTTGCATTCAATTAAAACATCAAAAATAATAACAAATGACTAAAAGTAACAAAAAGAGAAAAGTTTTGCTATAATTAGATGAGAATAAGAGATCACAGATTGGATCCCATTTACAGACACTTACTTTGGATCTGTTTGTTGGTGTCCGCCGCTCCTAAACTTATCGGATATCTGTCGGACATCACCACTAATTTGATGGATTAGATCATCGACTGCAGGCATTGTCGCCATACTTGCGAAAGACATTACGATATTTAACTTTAAGTGATTTAATGTCTCAAATAAAATGATTGTAGAGTTGGGTTCACTTATCTGCTTAATCCCTAATCTACTACTCATATCACTGATAATAAACATATCGATCATATTATTGTAAGCAATGGATACTAAATACTAAGCAATGGATACTAAATACTAAGCAAAGGATACTAAATACTAATCAAATCAACGCAATGTTAATGTGAGTCCAAAACACGTGTAGTCAATGAGTCTTACAGTCAATGAGTCTTACAGTCAATGAGTTGTGCTTTAAATTTGGTGTCTTTTGGTTGAGTCAACGCATGCGCTGAACGTCACAAACACTGCACTCTTTGGCGCAAAACAGACAAACAGATCATGACTTCGAGGAATGGCATCAACTCTGGAGGGAAGGGCTGTCGCGCCAAAGCACTCATAGCTGTGGCAAACCAGTCGGACGACCCGTTACTCGAAGTGAACCAAAGTGTCCGCACATTCGTCGACCACAACGGACGCGAACACCGACTCTCGTGTCACCGATGGGACGAATTGGACGCCGAGACTCAGCAGTGGATCCAAGACGTGACGGAACACAACATGAAGTCATTCTACGAGTCGTCGTCTTGTGGTTGGAATCGGTCGCAGAAGGAGAAGGAGTTGAGACACTCGACGGCCCGGCATTTGGTGGTCCGCTCTCAAGAGGACAACCGTTTGGTAGCCTTCAGTCACTTCCGGTTCGAGACGGGAGGCCAGGAGTCGGAGTGCTGTGTCTACTGCTATGAACTGCAGGTCGAGGCCAGTCATCAGCGGTCAGGAGTGGGTCG